TTTCTTTCTTTCTTTCTTTCTTTCTTTCTTTCTTTCTTTCTTTCTTTCTTATTTTTACATTTATTTATTTTTGAGAGACAGAGAGAGACAGCGTGAGCAGGGGAGGGGCAGAGAAAGAGGGAGACACAGACTCAGAAGCAGGCTCCAGGCTCTGAGCTGTCAGCACAGAGCCCGATGCGGGGCTCAAACCCATGGACCACGAGATCATGACCTGAGCCCAAGTTGGACGCTTAACTGACTGAGCCACCCAGGCATTCCCCGGTGTCTTAATTTTTTTATGATGAGCTATGATAAAGTGTTTCCATTACCCTTTCCCCCTGTCATTTTCTATCTTGTATTAGCCCCCACATTTTATTGTGGTGATTATCTCTGTTTAGTTAAAAATCCTCTATTTCTATCACCTGGTTTTTCAGCTCTGAGCAAACCTTTGGCTCCTGGTTTGTGTAGGTGATACAGTCAAGGAGCTTATCCACTCACCTTCTTCCTCCTTCCATTTTTGTACTCGTTATATAATTTCTGCCGGGTCTGGGCATACAGCACCCACATTTTGCTCTGTTACGCTAAGCCCCTCCGGTTTTCGTCTCGGTTCTATGGTTAATAAGTATTTGATGCTTCCCGCCAGTTCTTTCCCTAATCACCTTTTGGTTTGCAGTGTGTTCTCCGGTAGTTTCCTCCAGCGGGGCTCATGGGAACGATATTCCTTAAATCCCTGTATGTGCAAAAGCCATTCTCCGAGCTTAGAGATGTTCAGGATTCTGCTTCAGCAGCGTGTTTTTGCTGGTGTTGTCTGAGATTGCTGCTATGGGGTGTTCTACTCTCCTTTCCCTGTGTATACAGTGTGCTCTTGGTTTTGGGGGTAGATTCTCGTGATTCATCGCTTACATACAACACCCGGTGCTCATCCCAACAAGTGCCCTCCTTAATGCCCATGACCCGTTTTCCTCTCTCCCTCGCCCCCCCATAAACCCTCCGTTTGTTCTCTGTATTTAAGAGTCTCTTATGGTTTGCCTCCCTCTCTGTTTGAAACTATTTTTTTCCCCGTCCCTTCCCCCATGGTCTTCTGTTAAGTTTCTCAAGTTCCACATATGAGTGAAAACATATGATATCTGTCCTTCTCTGCCTGACTTATCTCACTCAGCATAATATCCTTCAGTTCCATCCACGTTGTTGCAAATGGCAGGATTTCATTCTTTCTCATTGCCAAGTAGTATCCCATCGTGTATATAAACCACATCTTCTTTATCCGTTCGTCAGTTGATGGACATTTAGGCTCTTTCCATAATTTGGCTATTGTTGAAAGTGCTGCTAGAGACATTGGGGTACATGTGCCCCCTATGAATCAGCATGAAGTTTGCTTTTATTTTCTTGTTCACGTTGTTGATTTTGATCGTAATCAGGAGGCAAAGAGGCAAATTACTGTCTGATGCCACCATGTTTAGACCAGAAACCCTTCAATTATATTTGGGCACCATTCTAGTCTCGCCGCAGAGAATGTGGGATTTGAAGCTAGACACGCCTTCTCAGCTAACCTGTCCTGCTCACTCTCTGACAGTGGACGATCACTTTCTCCCTCAGCCATTAGTATTCTTATCTCTAAAATGGAAATAATGCTCACAACAGTTTCCTATTGTGAGGAGTGAGGCAATATGTATATAATAAGTAGGGACCTAGCAGAGTGCTTTGCGAATAGTGGGTGTTCAAAAGGGCAATAGCACAATATTTCACTGACTTTTCCGCCACAGGTGGCATTCATAATTACTTTCACCTTCTCTGTCTGGATGTCACTCGCTCAGCGTTAATGGTGGATGCTGTCACTGAGGCCACTATGGGGAGACCCTTTGGCTCTCTCCCATTTTTCCCATAGTTCTATTCGCTGGCCGTTAGTGCCAAAAAAGAGGGGCAGATCGATTGCTCAGAAGCCCTGGAGAGAGGATCCCCTCCTCCAAATGGCAGGGGTGAGGGGTGGGATGACACACGAGCAAGGTCTTTCGGGAAAGGCAGGGTTTCTTTGGGGAGAGGTGGGAAGGGCCGGAGCGACACCTGGATTCTGGATACTCCTTGGTCCAGACTCTTGGCGTCAGGGATCGGGGTGGGCGGGCTTGGGACTTTGATCACGTGTGCTTAGCAGGCCTGAGGAAGCAGGTGGCGGGATGCCCGTCAGGGCACTTCTGGATGAGGTCAGAGCAGGCTGGGAGGCCAGGGTGAAAGGGATCCTAAGGCACATGTAGCCAAGTTCTTGCTTTTGTCCGTGTCGCTCAGGTCCCGGAATCCCAGGCAAACCCGGCTCCTACCGTGCTGGCCAGTAACAGCGCCAGTACGGTCTCCTCCAGAAGCCAGGGCGTCATCGAGCCCATGGACACAGAGACCCGGGCGGATCAGAGGATGACCTCGGCTGACCAGCAAGCCGGAGGCAGGAAGACTACAGAGGCGGACGGGAAGAGGCAGGTGGCTAGGAGGACCCAGGGAGACAGAACACAAACGACCCAGAGGACACAGGCAGATAGGGAGCCACAGGTGGACACTGAGCCACGAGACAGTGAGAGGACGGCGTCAGCCAGGGGTTCCCAGGAGGATGTGGTGGCACAGGGAAGGGAAGGAACGCAGGCGGAAAGGACGCAGGCAGACGAGAGGACGCAGGAGAAGAGAAGGATCCAGGAAGACAAGGGGACACGGTCAGAGGGGAGCATGTCCGCAGCCATAAAAGGTCAGTCAGAGAAGGGATCCGTGACCAGCCTCAGCCCACAGTCCAGAGCCCCTGAACGCCCACCTTCAGAGGGTCCGCAGTCTCCCCAGATTATTGAGTGTTTTGAACAGACCCCAGAAGGGTCCTCTGTCCCAGAAGAACCTGGTCTTGTGCTCAGATCTGAGGAGATGGCTGTGCCGGGTGCCCCAGCAGGTGGCCCCAAGCTCCCAGCACAGCAGCCTCCCCAGGGGGGTTTGGAGCCGCGGGGAGGGGTGAGATGCCAAGGGCCTGAGTGGTCGGGCCCGGTCAAGGGCAAGCCAGAGGATGGTCTCATCCCGTGCCCCAAGGAGGAGCAGCCGGGGGCAGTGGATGTGGGTGGCTGTCCTCCGGCTGGCAGGAGCCCAGAGGCGCCCACTCTGCCCTCTCTCCCGGGGCCGGGCCTGACCCAGAGCTCTCAGGAGGCACGGCCTGGCCCTCCGACCTCTCAGCACATAAGTGCCACTGCCTTCCCGCCCTCTGGGGACCAGGCCTTGCTGAGGTCAGCCCCGCCACTGCACCTGGGGCCAGGGACCCCCGCCCAGAGTCACCCACAAGCAACCGCGGCAGCCGACAGCGAGGGGGCCTGCGCCCAGGGGCCAGATGTGGAGGGGAGGCCCCCAGGCCCCCGCGGCTGCGACCCTGGCCTCATAGACTCCCTGAAAAACTATTTGCTCCTGCTGCTGAAGCTATCCAGCACAGAGACGGGGGACGGGGGCGCAGAGTCCCAGGAGGGGGCTGCCAGCGGGGCTCTGGTGCCCTCACCCACGCTGGTCCCCAACGTGGAAGTGGCTGGTCTGAGCCCCAGGACGTCCAGGCGCATCCTGGAGCGCGTGGAGAACAACCATCTCGTGCAGAGCGCGCAGACCCTGCTGCTGAGCCCCTGCACCTCCCGCCGCCTCACCAGCCTCCTGGACCGTGAGGTGCAGGCCGGCCGCCAGGCCCTGGCCGCAGCCCGGGGCCCTGCGCCCAGCACCCTCACCGTCCCTGCCATCGTGGTGGGCGAGGAGGAGGGCCCTGGGCTGGCCTCAGAAGGATCCAGTGAGGGCGAGGGAGAGGTTTCCCTCGAGGGGCCTGGGCTCCTGGGGACGTCCCAGGAGAGCAGCATGGGGGGGCCGCTGGGGGAGGCAGGTGGGCACGCGGCCTCTGGTCAGGGACCACTCTCAGCAGACAGAGGGGCCCAGGAAGCCTTCCGAGAGGAGGAGGCCCCAGGGGAGGCTCTGACAGGTCTCCCTGCAGCCACACCCGAGGAACTAGCTCTGGGGGCCCGGAGGAAGAGATTTCTCCCCAAGGTCAGAGCGGTAGGAGATGGGGAGGCGGCCAAACCTGAAGAAAGGGAGAGCCCCACAGTCTCCCCCCGGGGGCTCAGGAAGGGCCTCGCGCCCGGGTCCCCGGGGACTCCCGGGCGGGAGAAACGCTCCCCTACCCAGGGCAGGAAGGCAGGCATGCTGGAGGTGCCGCGGCCTGAGGAGGCCAGCGGCCTGGACGCAGAGCTGGTCCCGGAGGAAGGCAAGCAGGACACCCCGGCCAAAGCCAGGAAAGCCAAAGAGCTGCTAAAAGGTGAGCAGTGGGGAGGGTGATGCGGGGAGAGCGCCCTGCGGGGGGGGGGACACGAGCCCGAGAGGGGTTACTGAGGGCATTCTCCTGTAATGACCCCACCATCGTGGAGTCCTAGAGGCCTCGTTCTTGTCCTGGCTCTGCCCCTCGGGATTGGGAATAGCACCAGCTGTGCACCATCGAGAGGGAAGTGGGATAGAAGAAATCAGGTCCTCAGATGGGGCCTGGCTCCCACAGTGCTCTAGGTGGAGCGCCAACATCCCCACCGTCCCCTCTGTGCAGAATTGTCACATGAGTCCTGAACAGGAGGGGCTGGGACTCAGAGGCGGGCCTAGAGCCCACACTGAAGTTCTTCTCTCTCTCTCTCTTTTTAAAAAAGTTTATTTATTTTAAGAGAGAGAGCACAAGTGGGGGAGGGGCAGAGAGAGAGAGGGAGAGAGGGAATCCCAAGCAGGCTCCATGCTGTCAGCACGGAGCCCAACTCGGAGCTCGAACTCATGAACCGTGAGATCGTGACCTGAGCTGAAATCAGGAGTTGGACGCTGGGCCATCTGAGCCACCCAGGTGCCCCCCTCTCTCTTTTTTTAATGCCACAAGAGCCTTTTGAGAAAAAAACTTTGTGTTTTGTTTTGTTTCTTTGCTATTTTTAGTGAACTCAGTTCCTCTAAGAGATATCAAGGCCATTCGTGTAAAATCTGTTTCTTCTTGAGTGGGCTTTCCCAGCTAGTGTCCCTCCAGTGAATTCTCCCTTTTCACCTGTCAGACAGACAGTTGCCATAGCGTCCTCCACAATACGTTTACCGTCTGATGGCTCTGTACAGACATGATTCTGGTATGACAGTTGCCGATTCTGGTAATCTGGGTTCTCTGTTTCTGCTTTCCATTCATCTGTTTAATCTCTCATGGATTTTGTTTTCTGTTTTTTCATTTTTTAAAATTTTAGTTGACACCTGGGGCGCCTGGGTGGCCCGGTTGGTTCAGTGTCCGACTCGTGGTTTCGGCTCAGGCCGCCGTCTCCCAGTTCGTGGGTTCAAGCCCCACATCGGGCTGCACGCTGACACCGTGGAGCCTGCTTGGAATTCTTTCTCTTGCCCCTCCCCACTACAGCTCACGCTGTCTCTCTCAAAATAAATAAACTTAAACAAAATTTTTTTGTAATTTTAGTTGACACACGCCGATACATGAGTTTCAGGTATATGACGCAGTGATTCAAGAATGCACATTATGCTGTGCTCCCCACGAGGGCGGGGTCCTCTCCTAACTGCTGTGTGTGTCCTCCGCTCTGAGGCTCCCCCAGGCCTGGGGGAGGAGCACAGAAGTGGGAACTTTCCAGCTCAGCTGTGTGATTCG